ACGAAGGGCACCATTTTTCAAGACATGTTCGCTAGCAAAGAGCTTGTTGCAAGACCTCCTCTTTTTCAGCTCAGCGAATACACTACTAACCAATCCGCGTTCATATCATTTGATAAACGAAAGTATGTTTCGCAATGGCGGGAGTAGCACTTTCCGTAGAATTGACCAATCACTGAAACAAAATTATACTTTGTCAGGGCGTAGGAATTTTTTATTAATATAACTTGAAGGAACTATAAAAATTTATCAACAGCACGCTGATTCAAACGGCAATAAGCGCGCAAATGTAAATCAGTAGTGAGATATTTATTCCTAAAACGTTTTAATCTAGAATTTTATCTTACCATCGGTATTCATAATAGTCTCAACATATTAAAGAATAAATTAAACTGCCAAACGAATGTAAAAATCCATTTGAAATCAAATTAATTGAACAAGCATTCCTGTTCCAATATACTGGTAAGTGGAAACAGGTTGGCATAATTCTAAAAGTTACTCATTTCACGAAATATGGAAATGCCTATTTTTATAATGAATTATATTCATAACATTCTCAACATTATATAGATCATTTTTAATTTTTACTGCGAAACTGACGTAAAGATCCATTTGAAATAAATGAATTGAACACGCCTGTCTGATTAAATAATCGTAACAGGTTGGCATATTTCTAAGAGTTACTCATTTGACAAAATATAGAAATGATTATTTTCATAACAAAGCAGTCATTCCAATTTCTTGACAGCGTCATCGTGTCATTCTAATTTTGTTTATTTATCTTTCGTTTCATGATATTATAAGAAATAAAATTAGAAAATTTTCACTATTACTGCCAAACTTGACATGAACGATAACGGAGTCATAGGTAGTAGCTTATTGTGGTTTCGAGAAGATTAAATTCTGGTAAATAGTTGACAGGCACGACTATAGCACACCACTAATCCCGATGATATTCGCAGTACCTCTGACACTAAAACTAGCTCAAAACTGGTTATCGACGTTCTAGCTTGAATATGTATAGCGCCGCTCAACTTCGAATCAAATTCTAGATTCTCCTGCTGTATTTGTATTAGAGATGTGCAGAAAATGGCCACCGACTCTTCCATGCAACCGGTTTTACTGAGTTGCATTTTTGGACACGTAAGTGAACATAACGATCGTTTCAATATTATGTTGTTGTTTTTCGTCATCATTATCAATAAAAAATCGCTTTTCTCTTCGAATATCGGACCAATTCCTTTGAAATTTTCAGTGGTTAAAGATTGATTTTTTTGCCAGAAGGCTATTACTAAAAATTGAGCCGGCGGTTAACCATACTGAACGACATGCTTTCCAGACTTGCACGAGACCTGTCCGCCTGTTTAGATAGCGAGACCTGTTCGCCAGATGGGAAAAAAATTCACTGTTGCCAAACAGTACGACCAAAATCGTCATGGCGGCCAATTTAGATCCCTGTTCTGCGGAACACAGTTTGAGAAACGCTGAGTTAACACTTTATCATTCCAGAGGCTTGGGCTTGGCAGAAGCCATTATCGACCAGCGTTCAAATGAACAACGTGATGACGAGTTGTCCAGGAACCCTTCGATCATAATCACTCGCAACAGAACTCAAACCCTGGACATACGCAGGATAATCAGCAGTGCGAAGGCAAGCGTGTTTCCTGATCCTGAGCGTGACGCGTCAAACAGTGAGACTATTCAATTGTTGTTATCTGCCTGTTGTGATACTAGAGAAGGCGTACTGAACAAGAATACTTTTGATTCCAGTTCTCGACAGCAGTTCGGTGTGATCTGCGGCCCTGTTTAGAACTACTAATTCACACGTAAAATGAGTTCCCGGTCCAACCAGGACGACGCAAAACGTAACTTAGGTCAAAAAATGAACACTCTTAGCTCCTACATTTAGCGTACTTACTGCACAACTTGTTTTGATCAGAATGTTATATTAGGAAATGATTTATCAGGATTCCCTTCGTTTTCGTAGGATTTGAAACCGGTCGTTAGAACTTTACTGCACGTAAAGTGTTATTACTGGGTGCTAATTAATTTTATTTCTAATTTTTAAAAATGTCACTGTGAATAAAGTATCACCGCGATGAAATCAGCCTGGTAATTTGGTAAAATAATAAACGATATTTTCCAAACTTTCACTAATTCTTTGTGAACAAAGAGTAAAGTTACGTCATAAACAAGATAGGTTATTCCCAATTGCAGAGCGTCCTTGCTAGTCGTGCGTTCACAGGTTTTTGTTGTGGATTAATGCAGAACATTTTTGGACGTATTGGGAGTGGATACACCGAATGACTCGCACGATTAGCGAATGAATTTGGTGAGTAAATTTAGCGTTTAGTTCGTCATCAACAAAATTGAGCTATACCGGTACTTTATTGTTTAACGCAGGAGAAAAGATTCTTCTGCGGGAAGAATCAAGCCTGCCCAACGCAGCATCTCATTCTAATACAAAAGTGGGGCGACAGCAGACGGGAGCGGCCAAACGTAACGAACCAATTCTGCAATTAGGATAAGCATATTCTGTCCGGCTATGCCTGATTGCGTTCATGTGCAGGAAACAGCATCGAGCGCAGCTTAGTACCGGTATCACAACATTCCAAGTCCGGTCTGTCTCCGTAATCTCGGGGCTTGTCCATATGAATGAGATTTTTTAGTCCTTCGCTATTATTGGAATCCCAGGGCATTCGCCGCAAACAAAGTGAGAAATCATCCACTGATATCAGTACTATACATTGCGGCCTGCGGAGCATGATTCCAATGCAGTCTATACACCCTGAGTTTGTAGACAACAAGCTGTTGCCCAAATACCATTAGGTTCAACGCCCTGGATTACATTCCACACGCGTGGTAATCAATGGTGCAATGACGTGCGCGTTTGTAACTAACTGCAAATAAGTTAGCCAACGGCGGAATCCTTTGTTAGGGTACGTGTTGAATTAAGCAACTAAGGATTGATTATTTAACATCTGTCACAACTGTAACTGTGTCATACGTTCATGGTTGTTTATGACACCAGTAGAAAAGTAAGATATCTGAAAATATATGGTTTACTTATTGCGTGAAAATTACGCGAATTTTACTCATTTTTCAGAACACGCTCCTGACTAACTGCACTAGAGTTGATATTTTTAAAACCAAATATGAACAGTAATTTCCATATTGTGAGTGAACCAAGCCCACGTAGCATCATTATTACAGTAATCTTTCAGTTTCTTATATACTATTTTTGAGATTTATCCGATGACACATATATGCTCATACTCCGTGGCATTTACACACGTTCATGGCGTATAACAGCCCCCAGATATGCGCGAAGTCACGCTCAGATTCCTTTGCCTAATCGCGTCCTTGTTACAGCATTTCAGTTCCCAATTCGCTTCTAAACTAGGCTGAGAGTATGATTCATAAGAGCTTTTCCAAGTTTTATTTCTTGATTTTACATCATGTCGCACATGTTTAAGATGTTTCTTCGACACGAATTGAGTCTTAGCATCCACGCCTTGGATTATGCAACGTTTTTGTATAAATTGCACCGACTTAGGAACGTGGCATGAATCGATTTTATTTATATGAAATTAGCATACGTCACACATGTTTTCGTCTTGTGAAAGTCCCCATGCAGCTGCTGCCTGCTAAATACCTCTGAATTCCCCCATTTCCGTACCTATTCGCATCATCAGCGAAGGAGCTAATTTTCCGCATCCCGTCTTGACACAACCCACGTTACACGTATGCCGGGGTATTTTCTTCGTCCAGAATGTTTTTTGGGCAAAGTTCTGCGGCTTGGCGGGCAAACACACAAAATATTTAGCAGAAAATCGCGCTTAAACGCACGAATTTTTCAGGTTTTGAACTCTCGCATGATAAATTGATAGAACTTTTAGTCCCATTGAAAAAAATTAGAGTATCCCACGTTTCTGTCAATTCTACAATTTTTTCTTTCTCAATTTTTGCCCATCCCGAATTTACACTGTGTGGAATGCTAATTAGGGCTGTTAGTCGAAAATTTGATATATAAATCAAACTTTGAGAAAAGTTTTCAGACTGATAATTCTCAATTTGAAACGTTAAAATTACCTCAACTGGGCGTTGCCTGTTCTATAAATAGTATGCGTGGGTGAAGATGGGTTGAACATTCTGATTAGCTAGGAGAATTAACTATGTGTTGTAAAAGTATTCAAAGATTCATTTTATTTTGATTGTGTTATTCAGTGGGTTGCACGCTTCCTTGGAACGCCCTGCGAACTAAAATAAAACCGATGTTGATTTATTGAAGGCGCTTCAGATCGTCCAAATTTAAATGTGATATTAAATGTTCAGCACCAAATTTTTCAAAGTACCGTACTTTATAAAAATTTTATAATAAAAAAAAGTTCGAATTTAGGCATGTATTTATGTAATATCTTAAAATCCCGGACGGACTTGCCTAAACTACGATCGTATTTCAAATCAGCATTGGTGTAATAGGCATATTTTCTATGCATTGCCTAATCAATTTGACTTTTAACATCTAGTCTACAATTTTAAATAAAGATATCTGTAGCTTAGCAGATAACTCCAATCCCATTTTGCAGTCGAGCCGGTCTTAATCACCTTCCTGTTATAGCGCGAAAAGTTCTCCCGTTCAAGTTACGCGTTTTTTAAAAGTTTTTTTTTTTTACCAGATAAGGTCATAATTTTATTCCGATTTTACCTAAGTTAGTTCTTAGTTCGGGGACTGTCTGTGTTATCCAAGTGAATATACCCCCTGCCCATAGGTTTCAGTCCTTTCATACAACTTGATGTAAAGATAGCGAACAAAATTAGTTACCTCCATATTGGAGGTAACACTTCTGGAGCGCCCTTTTTTTACAATATGCCGTGATTTCAAGCTACAGACATCAATTGCCTCAAACAAATCGCGACTGCTCGTCTCTACCTTCCTCTCACTGCTACAGCGCTACGTAATCTATCAAATTTTTAATAAAATAAGTCTTGCAACACGTTGATACTGTAGTGTATCGGCCACCACTCTTATTGGAGTAGTTATTTATTGAACTTAAAAGTAAAGAAATTGCAAATAAGCGAAAACAATAAAAAAAGAAAATTTATTAAATATTAGCAAAATTTCATTACCATAAAAAAAAAAATAACATATTAGTTGCAAAACTTTTTGAATAAATTTTCTCTGTTAAATCTTGTACACTCAGAAATATATATAAATATTTGAATATTTTTGTGCAGTTCTATCAAGGCTGAAATCGATTACTTAAATTTAATCATTTTACCGATCATTTCTTAGGTAAATTTGCTTTTCCTAATCTTTGTTTGCTAATCTGTGACATTCTCGTTGGCAAATATTGATCGAGTATCAATTCTTATGAACATTCAACGAAATGATCGGTCATTTTGAGATGTAAATAGTGGGCCGAACTTGCTCTGAATAAAACATATTGTGTAAAACTAAACATAACGTTTTTGATATCTTGGAAAGCAAGAAATACGATTTTGAAAGTGTTACTAAGTTTTTAATACAGATCATACTAAGTGAGAAACTATGTTTTGTATAGGTTTTAATTGTTTAATTGATAAAGGCAGAATGGTGAAGTTTTTTATTTATTCCATTTTACCTGCTGTTAAATGATTTTTACACTTCACAAGTAGTGTAATTTTTTATGTATTAAACAAGGATGATTTCACATGTTTTCATATCTTACTATTCGTTCCCGGGTTGTTGTGAATAAAAAGAAAAAAACGCTTATATAATTCACCAAGCTTGGAAGTTTTAACAAGCTCTAGCAATTCTCACAGAGCTACATAATGTAAAACTTATTGAAAATAAATATATTTTTACTTGTAATATGCCTTCTGACATAATTATTTTATTGTAATCGATCGACATAGGTAAAAATTTCAAACTAAACGTTTACCCAAATCAAAAATGTAAAGTTTTTGGGTTGGTCTGCAATGCTAACATTTGGATAAATTTGTCGAAAACAATGTAGGCCGAAAACCTCCACTCATTGGGGAGAGTCTTATGATTTGGTGATAGCAATATAACTGAATTTCATTATCCGAATATCTATTTGCAATCGTAAATTCATAGCAACCCAGCTCAGGAAAAATAAAAGTGCATCAGATTGTAAACAAAACAGAGAAAAGCCACTTGCTCTATGAAAGCATATCACCAAAATATTAAAAAGAAAAATAATTCTTTATAACGCTGAATAATATCTACACAATATGGTGACGAACGGGGTACTTCAAAATAATTAGTTTGATAAAATTATGCGGGACAGTAAAATTGTTTTTTTTTACTGCTAAGCGGTTATTTATTGCAACACAAATTATGCGGTTTGTGTCAAAACAACGTTCTGCACTGCGGCGGTTTTTGCAACGTTGCAAGACTTACAATTTCGCAATCGTTAAGGAGTTGAAATATGATATCAGAGTTTTTTCCCAGTCAAATATCTTAGCAAAATCGAGATAAAGTTGGGTGGCGCCTTGGTCGGTTTGGATGTAATATTTAGTCAGACCCGCCACTGAAAACCGATTTTATTCTATCAAAAGTTGCACATATATGTTTCTTGTGATTGTGCCGCCTATGATTAATACTTGACGAGTTTTGTTCAACGAAAAATTGATTTTCGCTTGTAAAAATCATTTGGGATGAAAACGGCTGAACGTGAATTAAAGGTACGCCCAAACCTAAATCTATGTAGAAGCATGAATTAAATTCAAACGATATCCACCCAAAAACGTCGAGTAACGTTCCAGTATTGCGAATGGTCGCTCATGCTTGTCAGGCGCAAGCACGATTCTTCGTTTTTCCGGAACGTACTTATGAATGCAATGGGTCCTTGACGTGTGGCGACCTGATGTCTCGTATGACCCTCACTGCTTCCTCGAGTTTGGCATAGTTTTCGGCGCAGATTTAATTAAAATTTAGACCTACATTTTAGAGGGGTTTTCGTTGTCGCTCTAAATAAAATAAACAAACAAACTTAAATAAACAATAGCCCAAACAGGTGACTCTTTCACAAATTCTACAGTAGCCACGACTTTTGTTGTGGGTGCCTATAAATTGAATTTTTGGCATGACTCTCCCTAAATAATAAACAAATAAAACCCTCAGTTGCGTCAGCAAAAAATAATAAATTGAAACAGTGAGCATAAGTGTTGTTCAAAGCAACTTACAGCACAATAAAGCATTGTTTTCACCAAAAATTGAAAATAACTTGTTGACAAAATGGTCCAATGACTATGCTTGGTATTTAACAGGGCTTTGACACTGTTTAGACCTCATTCATCTACTTTCGAACCATTTTACCATTTTTTAATATTTATCCAAGGTTTTTAAGAACAAACACATACAATATTACTACATAATTTGACGTTTCACCTTGCATTTTTCGTGCAAATGCCCACCTAACCAAATGATCGTCACGTTAGTTTGATAATTTTTGTGGCAATATTGTGCAGTTTTGCTCTTATCTGCATTAACAGCGATGCCATTTCAACATTTATCTGGAAATTATGCTTTATTCCAAATAATAGAAACTTAGATTTTCAATAATACCATTCCAGAAACTTCTCCTAGATTCATCAGGCGGCATTCTGCACGCTTACAGTGTTGGAAGTGGGGCGTTGGGAGCAATTGCAGCATTCAAAGCGCGCGACATCTGCGGATTCCTTGGAGCGTGTCGCGGCATTTTGCTGCCTTTTGTACTCGGCTGCAACGTTTCAATTGTAACGTTTACCAAGTGTTTCTGTTACATACACCCGCACCTTTTTACAATCATGTCCGGCACGTCGCTATATATTATATTTTCTTCATTGTCAAAATAGAGCATACTCATAGGGGCCATTTTTGTGGGAGCACAACACGGCGAAGCTGCTTTAGGTTGATTTTGCCCCGAGTGCATCGCGAGCACTTTGTGTTGATTGGTTTGTAAAAATAGCACTGGGCATTCTCCCGCGCAGTGGTATGATCGATATATGTTAGGATTAATTATCCAATCCCATCCCATTGCACTGAAGTCTATTTCAAAATCGTATTTACAACATCGTTCTTCTCGTGACTCTTCATTACAAATCAAGGCTCCAGCATCTCGCTTTTTTCGTCTGCTGTTCAAATTGCTTGTTAGATCGACCTCGAGCATCGGTTTCTGAAAATAAAAGAACAGTATTTGAAAAATATTCAGAGTTTATGTAAGCTCATTAAGTGGTAGAAGATGAATAAAAAAAATCCTTCATTTGTTGCTTTCTTTTACGAAAATAGAGGAAAATTATTTAACACTTGAACTTCTGTTTGTGAATAACTGTAACAGAACGTTTCAGTAATCTAAATGGCTTTGCACGAAGGTTATGTTCTCTCCAGGATATTTTCCAAATGAACGGTTTTTCGTCACCATGTAAAAAATGTAAACAGATACTCGTGCTAAGTAAACTAATTGAATATAACCCTTCAGTCCCACTAGTCGTATTAGGTTATCGGTCGCATATGAATTAGTGAGAGTAAACGACGAAAATTTGTTAGACGCTATATATGCTAAAATAAATGACTCGAATCGGCGATGCTCAATCCCATATATCAGCGAAGCCAACGATGTAACTGACGTGGATATGCTAATTAAATAATTTTAGTACGATGTTAAATTCATTATTTTTAACTTAGTATGCAGATTAGGTAACAACCATTCACTGTTCTATGCTATTATATCGCTTTATAAGCATGTTATTTCATATCGAGTGCTCACCCCGGCATTGCGGTGAAATTTGACCGCTGCTGAGGTGCTTCATTTCTGCAGAATTTGGTGTTACCTTTCGGCCTCCAAATTCGACACGCCACGAACGTAATATATGCGAAATTTAATACTGGGGCCACGGTTCTTGACACCATTTTGTTTCAAATTTGTGTAATATAACAAAAGCAATGGCAAGGTCAAATTTTTGTGGGCGGTTGTAAGGACTTACGCAACCGTTGAAAAATAATACTGACTTGCTAAGTACTTGCCGCAGTTACATAAGGTAGAATTTATGCATTTCGGATTTCATTGATAGGTTACGCGTGGTGGTTTTGGCTAAATATTTGAATGGAATACTTCTAAACTAATTTTACCCTCTGTTCCATATACAGTGTATATGTCTGTATCAAAACTTATTTTTCATGCCTGTACTGGACAATTGGGATAAATTGTTCATCTTCACTTTAGTTAAAATTGGCGCTTTGCTCCGTAAATTGATAATTTCGGGATGGTATACTGAAGAGTTAGCTACCCGAAAATTGCTCACGAATTACCATCCCGCGGTGTATTATATATGCATTTCATCGAGAAATTGCAGGAATTTCATTACTAATTGCTTTTATAATGTTTGTGTGTTGCTGTCAAATGCTAGTCACGATTTCATGCAAATCATAAACAGAAAACTTTGATGCTCTTGTCAAATAAACACCGGAAAGAGTTTCGAAATGCCTAAAGTGTTTCAGTATTTTTTTCTCTTGTATGTTTTGCCCAGCCAATTTCTAGGTATCCAGCTCAATCACGTCATTAGTAATCTAATGATAGCCACAATCTTTCCGTCCCATGTCAACAGAGGTTGCGGATTCAAATAATTTTCTGGCACAAACCGCCCCGACTAACTATATCTGTGTACATTAAAGTATAATAGTACTAATATTTCGCCAAACGCATTTAATCATAGACAGTACAAATTCTTGGGAAATTTTAGAGCGTTTTTAGGTAGGTATATATAATTGTATTATTCTAGTTAGTTATCTTAATCCTTAAATACATTATTCAAAATATTTAATTTTTATCAAATGACCATGGTATTGATAGAATCAAGATAAGTAATAAAAAATATTTTCGTAACTCCCTTGTGACATTTTTTATTTGCTAAAAATTATTTGGAATTTTTGCTCCAATTTGAGGTTTGATATTTCAGGCATAAAGTAGATATGTGCATGTTTAGATATTGGCAATAAAAAAATTTGGACAATATGATTCGAATCACTGTGGGTACTCTTATTTACAATCGATGTACGTACTCTGGTCGTTCTCTGTTATCCATACTTGCGATGGTGTGATTTGAGCAACTCATTTATTTTACCACGTTTTATTCACTTCAATTACTGAAAGAATTTAATCCAGAACACAGCGACCAAATTTACCTTGTACCATTATTCAAATTTTTTGACCAAGGGAGGAACATGTCTCGAAATAGATTATTTATTATATATATTGCCAGTTTTACCGCAGTCATTTCATATAATCTGTCCGAGTCATAGACTCTATTTGATACTTTGCGATTTTAATTCAAAAATTCCATATTTGAAATATATGGCATAAATGCTTAAAAATCACAGTTAATGGCATCTTTATGGAGTTGCCTTAATAATTAATAATTTTTTTTATTAGCTCCTGAAATTCCAGTGGTTTCGCGGTGACTTTACTCTGAAATGAGCTTTTACCCGATTGGGTACCTGATTAAAAGTAATCTATCATTTAAAAAAAATTGTCCTTTTTTTGAGAGGAAATATAAATGAAACAACCATTCGAATCATCTCTATTTGACGCAATTTATAATTTCCTCCGCTTAATACATTTATTATGTATTTTGATTAATATATTTTCAATATTATATAATTTTAATATTTTTAATTAATAACGCTGATCATTTTTGACAGTAAGATTTCTTCATGGTACAGAAAAAACCGCAAAAGCAAGTTCGCGCCAAGCGACGCGATAAATAGCCGAAGGGAGAACCTATTTTTGTTTTGAGATTATATTGTGCGGCTTTTATATTTCGTTTTGAGGAATAACTAATAAGGGAAAATTAGTCATCATCTAGTTTGGCATTTAAAATAAATGGTCATGGATTTTCGCTTTCCATGGGGAGGGGGGGATTGAGACATGCACCCGTTGCAACAAGCTTACTGCGTTAAATCCTTTTGTTTAATTTAATATATATTCATTTATTTGATTTGATATTTTCGAGATATTTATGGTATAATTTTAAAATACCAAGACATTAATTAAATTTTAACAATAGGAGAGATAACAATCTCTTGCACGAATGATGAAACGTTTATTTTATAACGTATTTGACGCGCGCGCCTTGACTTAATCATTCTCCCTTTCCAATACGCCATATTCGTTTTGCGGCCAATGAAGATGTTCACGGAGATTTATTTTAAGGGGGATACTATATTTTTTAACGTTTTTACTTCTATATAGTGCAATTTTTATGTTTTTGAAAATATTTAAAATCCAAATTATTTGAAATGCAGTAATACATAATACCCAAGGTTTTTGATATGAACAGCCCAAATTATTGTACAGCAATATGAATCAAATTTGCATTGTAAATGCTTTAAATTTGCATTTTATAAATTTACCAAACCAATTCGATTTTTATCACCAAATCGGACCCAAATTCCACAATGATAACCACACATAAACATTTCATTAACCGTGCAATTAGGGAAGAGCGCTTGTTGTCTGACCGATAGTAATATTCAAATTTTCTGCATTAACGTCCGCATAACTCCCCTACATATGTTTACAAGTTTATAAATTTAAAAATATCACCTTGCCTCCGTAATTTCTGGAATTAAAGGTCCGAAAGATATCGTGTGAGATATCGAGCTTTTCTCACTAATTAACCTTATGTTCTATATAGTTATTTGAACCAACGAGAAGTCGGCGCAAGGGTCCAGTGACTAGGGCGTGATGACTGTTGTCATCGCAGGTAGGTTATCCAGAAAAGATATTCTGAAAAATACGCTTCACTTTTCAGTGGTTACTTATATAGGGTCTTGTTCAAGGTGAACAACGCCTCAAAAAATCGCACTGAATTTTCAGATTGAATATAGAATTTCGGCCATGATATTTTTATACTGTCCAATGTCGATCCCATCATGAATCTGGGAATCATGTGTTTGTGGCGTTACGAAAAATTCTAATGAAAGCGTTTCCACGATTTTGTGTATTGTACCTGATGTTTAAAGTAGCAATTTGTCACACTCAGGGTTGGGTAATGTGCTTGAGAAGACAAGTTTGATATTGGGAATATATGGTGACGTGACGCGGAGTGTTAGTGGCCAGTGCGTACTCACAAATTGCTGGCATCAACTCAACTATTCACCACCTCTCTGAGTGAGTGATAAATTGGCAATTCCTGAGCGGAAAAAATCCATTCGTGACATAAAAGTGGCTCTTTAGGTATCAGTAGCTGCCTGTCTTGAGTCAGGATCGGCGTGAAACTGTCCATAAAAAACGCTCTTTAGTTTTGGACTGTAAGTGTAATAACCATAATAATTCCACTTAAATACCAATCTAACAACAACGTTTTGGGGAATCTTCGCTTTATAAATCATGGCTGCTTACTGTCAATCCACAGACGAACTCGTTCTCATGCACTACTCTAAATATACATTGATGTAGCCAAAGCCATCTGATTTGCTTGATGTATATTTTGCATCGCCTTTAATTGCATTGAAGTTTTATTTTCTATGAATACATCATGAGCAACGCTAACTATGTTATCTTTACTAATAGGCAACAACGAGGGAACACCCAAAATTTAACCCTGGTTTTTCGGCCTCGTTAGAAATCGAGCAACTCGGTACGGAAATTACTTGAACTTGGTTCAAAATTAGAACGACTAGGCGCATTTTGTTCAAATATTTTGTGAAAAAAATAGGTAAAATTTGCATCTATGTAATCCAGTAGTACTTTGAAGTGGGTAGAAAATGGGAGATTTGATTTAAAAAGCATATTTTATAAATATGATTGTGGTTGTGCACTAGGGTTTAACGATATACAGATAAAGCATGCGGACACGGGTGATGTGCGCTCGAACATACTGATGACACAACCAAGCGTTAAACGAGTAAAAGATAAGAATAGTCTTTACCTTATCCTCATGTCCTTGTTTCGGTTGTGACATGACGATTCCAGGTATCTCTGGACACCGGATATCGATACCAAGATTCGACTCCGGATTTGTGAACCACCGACTGACTTCATTTGATATTGAAAACGATTTCCATTCTGCTTTCTTTTTAATAGGTATTACTTTCCGGTCGAACTTGACTGCAATATGCGGAGAGTCGGGCTGTCTCGTGTTTTTTCTGTAGTGGTAGAAGTCTAGGGTAATGTTAGTCCGTTGTGTTGGATTTGCTTTGATATAAATCCATATTACTGCTGACGTCACCGTATGACGTAAGTCATCTTCCGTAAATCTGAAGTAACTTCCGGTTTGTTCTGGGTCCACTGGAAAAGAAACATTAATACCTTTAGTGATCGATTGTAACTTCATCAGTGCTGTTTCTGCACATTTAAAGGATGATTGTGATATATTTTATACGTCGATTATTAAAGACTTCCGGCGCTCGAGATGTATGTGTACCAATAGGGAGGTAACTAATTTTGTTCGTCTATTTTACATCAAGTTGTGTAATGGGACTGAAACCTATGGGTATAGGAGTAGCTAAACTTCCGTCTCGAACAAGGCCTTTTACAGCCGCTGATACCCAACGATATGTAACAAGCTCCCATTGTTGGACTGGAATATTTATAGTTCGTCATTGTCTACTCAAGTCATTAAAATCAGGATGAAGTAGGGGGAACGGAATTTGAACCCGAGACGTGCCACCTGCGATGTTAACTTAGTTAAGTCTAATATACACTTCAACCACTACGTCATCGCGCCCACAAAGATAACGCTTAAATTTTAATAGTTTATAATGATCAATTCAAAATATGTTGTGACGTTAAAGATGTCCTGCTCAACCAATGTTTATTGCATAGGCAGTCCCTTCCGGAAAAAATGGCTTTACACAAATGAAGTCCGCAATAAGTCTAAAGATGCTTAAGACGTAATTAGATTTCTAATTGAGTTACTTCACTACGTGAGAGTGTTGTGCGAAACACAAAAGAAGCCAAATTACAACTTAGAAGCCACTTATTAAATCTTCAAATCTTATAGTTGCTACTTGCCACACAATATTATCTAATACTTGTGCTATAGGTTTATAATTATTGACACGCTTTCCATGAAGCTGGCGACAGTTCTGGTCATTAGATTGAACACCACAAACTTTTGCTTTTGTAATAAGATCGATTATTTGTCTGGTTGAACCACCGCCTAAGTGGGGCATATGTACATTCGCGTGAGAATATATGTCGGAAAAATAAATAAAAATGTGAGAACAACTATAATCAAATAATTCAAACTATAACTTCATCTATTTATACTTTTCTTTTGGGACCCAAAAACATATTTCCAGCCTAAATTTTCGTACGCTTGCAAAGGCGAAAAACGTAACCGAATTTGCAATATAAGCCAGAACTCTGAAAACTGGATTTTTCTCAGTTATTAGCTTACTTACATACGCTTATTCACGCCTTTGGCTCTAAACCTAGTACAAGCAGGAGTATGTGAGGAGTTTTTTTGAATATTTTGAAGAACCGGAATTTTTTAACATAAGGCTGTGAAAAGTCACTGAAATAATAGACAGCAATAAAAAGTCAAGCACATTCGGCATTGAAGCTCTGAACGATAGTTCTTCCGGCTTTACGTAATCCAGCTCAAACGATTTTGAAATGGAAATAGCTATTTTCTGCAATACAACATAATCCGTTTTTCACTTTTCCATCTTTTCGCATTTCTCCGAAGGTATTTTCACATGGTAGTCCATTTTAGCATTTGATATGTAAAAAAAAAACTTTCGGATTTCAGCGAAAACTAACGATATTTCTTTATTTATTAGTCTTATTGAAATGGTGAGATTATATTTAATTTTGCTTATGTCGTTACCTCTAACGTGTGTATGGTACCGTGGTTGTGTAGAAATAGTGTTGGAGGGACTATAGGGAGCTGGAATCAATTCTGATCTCATCAGATCCCAATTACCATTGTGCCTAAGTAACTTCTTCTGCAGAGCCATGCTAGGATCAATCCTACCTATCAAACCAATCCTACCTTCGCTTGTCTGTATATGTTTATAGAAAGTATGTTTATAGTTTCTCAAGAAAATTAAAACATTGTCGAAAAAAATGACTCACTAAGTTGAATATCAAATGAAATTGCCACAATCCGACGTCTTGAGCCTATTGTTGTATTTTTGTTAATAGCTCTTTTATTTAGTTGAAGAAGCCCAGCGCCAAATAGTATGGATTATCTTGCATTTGGTGTAAATTTTGTCGAAGATGTTTAAACTAATCTGACAAGCGTGATAAGAAAGGAATTTTTCTGGTTTCGTTCGTTTTATTCTTTTATTCAAAATCTATAAAAATAAATAATACAAATATATATAAGGTCAAGCGTTCGACTCCTAATAATTTCGATAAATGGTATTTGATTGACATATATCATGGTCATTCCCGCCACTTTTTTTTTGGAAATTTTAAACCTATTCGATATTATATAATTATAACTGTGTATTGGATATCATGTCATCGTTTATATGCGGATACAATATCTTTTCTCCTAATGTTTGAATTATATAAGAAAGATCTGAGTTTTTATTAGACAAAACATTAAAAAGTAGGATATATTCTTTGCCTTCTACACGCATACATATGCACCGTAGTGGTAGAATAAGTAGTTCATTTTTGTACAATTTCAATTAACTATAATGGCCATAATAGCCACGATGATTGGTTGCAGCGTTTGACTTAACCGTATAGGCACCGCAGGTGAAAAAAGTTCATAAATTAATTCCATGACCCCCACCCTCACCCGGGATTTAACAAATTGAACAGACAACACTGAACCGGAAGTTTCCAGTACTTCAAATATACGGTAGCTGCTTGTACAGAACCTTGTTCAGAGTGTAAAAATAGATAGGCATTGAAATATGTTTGTTTTAGTTGCAAATCACTTCAATAAAGTGCTTTTTTTATATTAAAAATAATTGAATGTAGTTTGAATATTCATGGAAATGCGTTACTTGAAAAATTCTAATTCGCATTTTCTAATTTATATGATTTCATCTTGATATCTCTGACACTTTCAAAACAAACTCAAAATAACATAGAAGATTGTTTGTTCTTCGAATTTCTTTTCAATAATGGATTAAAAACCTCAAGTACCATGCAGCGACTTATCTCTTTTTGTCGTTATTTAGTAGACCACCATTATACTAACAAACACAATGTATAATCAGGCCCAATCATCAAAATACCTCATCCAGTGTAAAGTATACTTTAGCTGCAAATACGAAAACTGGAATTTGTTTTGGTGCCATAAAGTATTGAATACGTTTTATTCAAGTTTGCTTCAAACCTGAACCACGTATAAATAATGATAAGAAGTAACGTAATAAACATTATCTCCTTTATATTTTCGTAAAGACATTTTTACTCGTTTTTTTAACGGTATATTATAATACCTAATAAAAACTAGAATTAGAATGTTTGTTATAAACTTTCATTTTTAAGGTTCAGTTTGTTAAATAAATACCAAGTTATTGCAATACAAATTATGGAAATTCTATAGGACAGCCTCTTATAAAAATTATCCATTTTTCATAATAGTATAGAACAGCGACATGAAAAATAATATTATTTCTGATGACACTATCGTTTGATTAATTATTATTAGCTCATTCCGCAACTCATCAGATTTTTATAATTACCAATTCTACATGAGAACTTGTTTGTTGTTATCTTTTTTATCGAGTTATCTTTTTCTATGAAATTTGTATGTAAGTAAATGTTAAAACCAAGCTACAGGGAATAACGTCTTACTAATAATATTTGAAACAAACTTAAAAATTGAAAATGAAGTTGAGATTTCAGCTAATAGTTTTTCAAATCAATTTCTTGTAATACCTTTATGTAAATAGGTACTTTTAGTGCGTCTCCAAAGATTATATGTTCACAAATTTCAAAATTAAACTTGGTCACATTTTTAGACTTGTTTCTAATACTTTTGGTTAGTACTAAATCCTACTATTTATGATACTATATAGTTAACTCACAATTCGAGTTGTAACGAAGGTTACATTTCACTTCATAAAATATTATTAACAAATATTTTCTAAATTGTTCAAAAACTTAATTGAAAAAATTCAAAATATATCACATTTCTTAATCTCCCTATTACTAAACAAATACCAATTAATTTATATATTTTTAAAAACTTGTTTATCCTCCTAACCATGTCGAATTGATTATCGAAGCAAACAGATTTTTATCTATTGGATGCAACGTGAAATCATAATATGGTATTTTTAGGAATTTAATCACACATTTACATAAACAAGCAAGTAGTCATTAAGTACATTCTAGGTAGTTTATAATTTGACATGCGCAGAACAAATCCATATCTCAAATTGATTACTCATTGTTTATAGACATTCGTACTTTCGAAAACTTATTAACAACTTTTAACCCCGATGGACTTTCATATAATATTAAATATTTGTAATCAATGTAACAGTAATTAGTTATAAAGCTAAATATTACAAAATAAACATTTCAGCCATTTCCGACTCAGAACAATAACAATTTTGAATAATATTAACAAACCTTTCCCTAGAATTATTAAACCGACCAATAAAGATCCTATATCTTGGTAGAAATGTTATAACAAATGAGATTCGTTCTTAAATGTTTGTATCAGTAAATATAAACTAACATGCATGGATTATTTATCCGAATTTCTTTAATCTAGTTTGTGAGACAGACAAACAACTTCCGGAAATATAGGGTTACGTTATTGCATTTGTTATCCTGATATTGAAATGAACAATTTTAGTTATATAAGAAGTTAATAAATAGTAAATCGTCGTTTATTAAGATTTCACAGTGCATACTTGAATATAACGAATAAAAATTGGACAATCAATGATTCCACTCGTCGAAATCGTAAGAGCTCGAGAAAAAGTTACGCCGACACATTGGAAATTTCATACACCAGTTAATAAATATTTCCAAATCCTAATCTCACAAATCTTAAAAAGCAGCTTAAAGAGCTAAAGGATTGGATTTATTAGATCCTACCGTTTTCCAATTTCAATTTATTTCCAATGTCTGATTTTGCTTGAAATTTATTTGAGGTCTGGGCAAATTTAGATTAGTATGATAAAGGTTATCTAGATTCTAGATGCTTGATTTTGATGGAATCTGAAATTTTTAAAGTGATTAAAATCTTCATTTAAATAGGCGACAGCCGTCATTCCACATCGCTTCAGTTTAGTTTATAATTTGAAAAAATGCTACAACATTCTATAATGTGTAGTTCTCACATGCTTCAATCACCCAGT